TTTTTTTTTTTTTTTTCATTTTACTACAGTTTGATTGTTACAGATTATAGGAAAATGTTTGCATTTGTTCTGTCATGTGGAATGCATGTTCTGTGAACCTTTCTGAGTAAGTCATTTATCACTTGGTTGCTGGCAGTAAAGGTGAAACTGAATGCAGTCACCCTTCCAGTGGTCCCTTTCAGTCTTGGGTTCCTAAGCTCAACCTCTTCAAAGGCTGTGGTAATTAGATCTTCAGATGGAGAAGAGAGAAAAGGAATTGTGATTCTCAGGGTCAAAAGGTCTCTAAGCCACTGATCTGTAATGCTGGTTCAGGTTCAGGTTTTATGTGCATATTCCTACTTGGGATGCAACAAGCTGGGGAGTTGAATCTCCAGAGCTCAGGCATTCTGCCAACTCTGTAGCTGTGTGGCCTTAAAAATTCGTATCTATCCAGAAGACCTGCATAGAAATAAATGAACTGGCTGACACTCAGAGCAGAGTGTCAGGAATGTTGGGGCATGATCAGGGTGAACGTACTGACCAGCTTGGGGAGAGCAGGGAGGCAGCTGAAGGTTAGCTATCCTGCAGTACCCTGACCTTTCTTTCTTTGCAGTGATTCTGGCAGTCTCAGCTTCTCGATCTATTTAGGCAGAAAAGCCATAGTATTGTGCTGGTAGCAATGAAGTAGCAACTCTGATCATGAAGCAGAAATGGTGGAGAGAGGAGAAGCGGCTGTGCCAGAGTTTGCCAGCTTCTTGAGTCTCCATTGCAGCAGAGTTGTATTCGACTTCTAGGTTGTTCCTCACTATGGAGCTGGGATTTTTCCTTGGCTGCTGGAGTTAGTGTACCTTCCAGCCAAGTCATAATTCTAAGTTTTGAATTCTCTTGCCATAGAAGCTCCTGACCTGTTCTCCCATGTGCAGACGTGAGTGTACTGGTAGTATACCTCAGAAGATGCTCTTGTGCACAGCCAGTGGCAAATACGCTTTGTGGCCACTGCCACGTAAGGTGCTGATTAATTTTTGGGTGAGGAAATCGTCCCTTCACTAGGCTGTCCACTTACTTTAAGTTCAGCTTATGTTTACCTACCTTAAGGAATTAGGTTTCAATGTTTCCTCAAAACAGATGAAAAAATTATGTAGCTTTTTTTCTTATCTCACACTTTCAATTGAAATGTTGTTAGTAGAAGACCAGTAGCAAGACACTTTTTTCCATAAAACATTTATGAAACAAGGAACACCATTTATAAATACTGATACAGTTAGATAGTTATCTATTAGGGATACCAAGAAGAAAGCAATGACCTCCCAGKGCTGTCAAGCCGATAAGGCCCTGCCTTTTTTGCCTAAGATGGCTAGCTCTGCTTAATTGGGTAATCTCAAACATTTCACCTCGAGTTCTGTAAGGGGAATGATAGCTTACACTGACACTGCAGGTTTGAAACATTCCTAGAGGTAAGACCACAAGAGACATTCAAGTTCTTGATGAATTCTTTGCAATAAAATTGTATATGATTAAAATATAAGTCCAGACATTATGCCTAAAATTTTCTAAATCTTTCAGTGAATCTTTTGCTCTGCTAGGATATCATGTCTTCTTTTCTTTTTTTTTCTTGTTTTGCAAATTTCATTTCTTTAACCTAGCRTCATAAGTTATGCTTTCTGAGGCTTTTAGCATTTTGATTGCTCTAAAGCATTTCAGGTTTTTTATATCCTTAGAGAAGTCCAGCACTCGGGTATGTTATTGCAGCTGTGGGGTTTATAAATGACAAATAGAAGGTCATCTTTTGCTATTAGAATGCCTTCATAGGCCCAGTGAGACCAACATCTTTGAATTAACATAAGARCTGAATTCCCATCTTTGTCATAGTTTGATTTTTACTGCTAATTAGTCAGGTTGTTTCCTATGTTGTACCAAGCCAAAAAGTTCAAAACTTTTGTTGCTATTTGTCCTATTTCAAATTTTCTATATGATTCACTTCTATATGTGTTTTCAGTAATTAAGAGGAGTCAGTATCATACTTCACTGAAAGAGATCAGTGAAAATATCTCTAGCCCATTAAGAGCTTATTACCTCTTCATACAGTTCAAAATCTTCTTATGCATTTTTAAATGTGAAAARCTACTATCTTGTAAGCCTAATGAGGCAGATATCTGCAAGAAGCTGTGTTACAGAATGAATTGTTGTATCACCATTTCAGAAGTGTTGTATATGTCGTTAGACCAGTGACTGCTACAAGCAAAAGGGAATAAGTATTATATTAATGACCATATTTTACAGCCTGGCTCCATTATCTGTTTTTCACTGACTTTGCCTTTTTATGCCAATAATTACACTCTCATCTGGAAAAATTAGATTAATGCAATTTTCCAAAAGCTATTAACAAGACTTTTAATATTAAGATGGCTACTTATCCTAATGCACCATCCCAAAAGTAAGATTGTGTTTTGGTCGTAAAATGAGGTGTGGTTAGGGTGTATTCTGAAGTAGCGGAGCATGAGGAAAGCCTATAGACTTCAGGGGCAAAGAGCTTCACTCAGCATGTGACACCCTTGTCACCGACTATCTGCCAGCATCGTCTACAGTGATATTTGCACCAAAGCTTCCTGAGGTTGGTGGAAATACAGTAAAACCTTGCCTGATTTCAGTATTTTAGTGTTTGCGTGATTGTTGATTCTCGAAGGATCTGACAACGTGTGGGGACCTGAACATCCATCTGCTTTTTCTGACTTCATCGCATCCAAGAAATACAATGAAATTAATTATCTTGTAAGTCAAATGAAAAATATTATTCCTACCTGTTCAAGCCTATATTTCATTAAAAATCCTTTCTACGTGTGATTCGAGGTATTATTTGATAGTCAGAAACTATGGTTATAATGACTACACAACCTGAATCTTTATTCTTACATGGCATAGCCAACATATTCTTCCAGCTAAATTCCCATATGCAATTCTTAATCAAAGTTAATCACAACCACAATTAAAAAAAAAACAAAAAACCAACAACAAAACCTTTAGACGGTGTAATAGAGTTCCATGTATAAAAGCCTTTGGGACTTCCTCAGAACTGTATGATGTCCTGTGAAATCCACAGGTTCCACAATTTGTCTGACTGTCTATTAAGATAACTACATGACTGCAGAATTTTCAGAGGGAAACTTAACACTGCTTTTTTTGCCTAAGTTGAAGAATGAAGTTTAAGCATTTTTTTTCACTGGAGATTTGTTAATGTTCTCTAGAATCCAATAACCTAATTTGTTAGCAAAGTCCCTAGAACAGCAAAACTGTTATCTTTTAATTCTGGATAAGTGTCTTTCAAAAAAATTGTCTCTTTATATCCATGTGTTTATATCCATGTAGAAAAAGAAACCCAAACTGCAAAAACATCTGTTGATCAAAATGGATAATATAATCCATTAATTAAAATAGATCATTGGAGAATACATTACTGAATAACATAGTATGCTGTTCGCCAAAGGTGAATGCAGCCTTCCAGTTGGCATTACAGTTTTCAGTCCTGCTTAAGCTTTGAAGTCACCAAGTAATTGTAACTTTAGCACCCTTTAGTGATTTTCAATCAAACACGGAAAAGAAACTTAAACAACAAGAAACACTCTATTCAGTCTCCATTCAGTACTCAAATTTGGATATGAGAGGGGGAGGATCAATCAATCATTAGCGTGTAATTTTTTGCATACTGTTACAGCTAGAATGAATAGATCTTTATACACTGCATTTTGGTTTTCCATATCAAATGCCTTGAATTGTCATGCTAATTAGCACAGAAGTCTGCTTTTCATTCATTCTGTCTATAGTTTGTTATACATACCCTTTTTTTATCATTATTTTCTTCTAATTCACAGTCTCAAGGTTTTGAATTAATGTCGCTTAATAATAATTTGTTTTAATAAAATTTACTGTAAGTAAATAATTATTATGCATTTAAGAGTTGCAGTGTATGTACACAAGAAATGAATGGTGTTTTGCTCGGGGATGCTTATCTGTTGACTAGTACTCTTTTTTTTGTCCACATACAGAGGATTTTTAGTAMCTTCTAAAATATTATTAACGTAAGAATGCCATTAACCAAAGGGATTTAAATGCAGGGTTTTTTTTTTTTATTTTAGAGAGATTGACAAGATTTTTTTTTAATTGTCTTTATATTCGCTTGTTAATGCTGTCAATAAATGCAAGACAATAGTGCAGTTTTTCAAAGGCTTGAGGTAGGGCTAGCATTTACTATCTGTATTTGAGACAGAAAAAAGGTTGGTAATTTAAAATTCTTTGAAAGCTGTTAAAGTAGAATGTTATTTTAAAATACAGRAAAAAATGCAGAAGAAAGCTCAGGACAAGCTGTACTGATTTCCTGAGCCACAGAAAAAATGTAATTTAAACTTAGCATTTAGACAGCTGTTCAAAAACCTTGGTTCAATTTGATTTCTCACAGTCTTTGTGAGCTTCCAGGTTTTGCCTGGAAGAAAAGTAAAATTTCATACTGAGATTGTAAGGCTTGAATTCTGTTAAGTTTCATCAGCAGTGATTGTCATACATCTTTGGACATCCATCTTTCTCTTCCTGATCAAATTTCCTCATGACAAATACATAAATTGGGGTGAAGAGTACAATAGCTAGGATGGAGAGTAATATGTCAACTAGCTAGGACTTTTTGAAGTTTAATGAATGATTTTTCACTTTAGAGTCCTTGGCTTCCTGAGAGCAGTCATTTCATGGAAGCACCTATAGTTTCTAAGACAATTCATGTTGAATGAACCAGGATGGGCTATAGTGTGTGGTATTTATAAAAAGAGAATCTCTACCTATTGTATGCCTCCCATGGAAAAGTTTGAAAAACASTGATCCAAAATGGTACTTTAAAAGGTGTTTCAGTGAAGTTTATCCAAAATTACTATGTAAATATTCTGTAGGAATACTTCCCATGTGTACAGAAGGTAGAAATGTACCTGAGATTTTGGCACAGCCCTTGTGCAAAGTCATTGAAAATTCTAACAGAAGATCTTCAGTAACAAACTAAACAAATTTCTTGGTTAGGCATATATATATCTCCATTATGACAACATGCTGAGATTGTTTCGTACTAGTGAAGCAGCATCTTATCAAGAAATCCTGTCAGTCTTGTGTAGTAAGGTATATTTTTCAGTGTTGTCCTTCTTCCCYTCCACCCTTCTGTTTCAGTTTACGTGACTGGACTTTGTACCCATATACTGATAAGTGCACAGCCATCTTGTTTGAAAACGAGAGACAGAAACTGAAACAGTTCTGTGCTGCAAGGTAAAACGCCCCTGTTGCCCCAAARTCTGTCATTTTTATATAGTTTGATTGTATAGTTTTTATAGTTTTTATATAGTTTTATAGGTTTTTATATAGTTTAATTGTAAACATTGGGGTAATGTGTAGTTGGAGTTCATATYCTTTCACAGCTCAAAAAAATTCTTCATGGCAGGATATTAGCAATTATGAGAAATAATAACAAATTCCGTGTTGTCTTCTCTGCATTAACTTAGTGTAATGTATTTTGTATAATAAAAAGATTGCTGAAACTATATACTCATGTCTATAAGATACTATCAACTATAGTGGCAAATTATTTTGTAACAATGCACTTCATTATCAGGTATTGCAATGGAGTAGAACGTTCCCTGCCTTGAACAGATGAAAACTAGCATAATCATTACTTGAATTGTAAAAGCATTTTGAAGAAAAAATAAAGCAGGGTCCTTATGAACTAGAAGATTTTCCAGCTGTGCCATAGTTTTTTTTCTTAGCACTTAAGCTCTGGTTGTTTAAAAAGTAATGTTAAAAGTGTATGCAATTTTGATTATGGAGTCTGTTTCAAGGATCAAATGGAAATGAATTGTTAATAGTTATGGGGGGCGGGGGGAAGTTCTGAAATAGGCTTGTAGTTTTGAAGTGACTCTGGTTCATGTGTAGTGTACGTTATCTCACATAGTCCATTCAGTTCAAAAGTGGAAGCTTGTAAGACTCAACTGTGACTTTTAAAGAGATATTAAATAAATCTAATATTTTCCTTTTTAATGTCATACACATCCAGCTTGCAAACTGGGGATAAACACAGCTACTGAAGGGACAGTATCTGTAAGAGGAATCACTGAGAGTGATGCCATTCTCACAGGAGAATGGCAATGAGTAATAGAGAAAGGAAAAAGGTAAAAAATCACTTTTGGATAGATTGTATCTGCCAGGCTTAAACAGARAAACTGCATTTGAGCAACCATACTGAGACAAGAAGGAAGGTGAAAGAGGAGAAGTCTATTTAACCAAAACAAGTGTTTGAACAGAATCTGACCATACATGCTGCTTGCCGTGCAGTTTTGTAATGACTCATGAATAATATGTATTCCACACATCCTGTTTTCTCACCAACAGGTATTTTGCTTCTGCCCTTAGGATGTTCTGTAGGTGGATGTGTTAAAGCCCAGTCGCACCAAGAGCTGAAGCTGCTCTAACACAGGGGAGCCCCATTTGCCAATAGGGAGCAGTGTGTACTGCTGCCCTTGGAGCAGCCYGTGTTGAGGGAAGTCATGGAGGAGGCATTGCAGCATCGAGCACAGTGATTAGTGCCAGAGACACAGTGACAGCAGCACCCGGGCCAGCAAAGCTGGAGGAGTCGAACCACACTGCATCCAAAAGGTATTCAGCCTGAGTTTGCATCCATGGCACATTGATGTGGGTTTCTTGAGTAATAAGGGCTTTGAAATAGGGTAAGGCATGGTTTGGGAAGATTAGGGTTGCAGAAGAGTTTGTGGGGTGGCTTCTTGATTGTATGAGCAGAAGTTTGGGCATGAGGAAGAATGAAATAAAATTAGGTGAGAAGTTTAGTTGAGAAGACTCCAGGATGAGATGAGAATTGAGATGGCTTTTTAAGAAGTGCTTAAGAAGAATTGTGGCTATGGTACTCTGAACTGTAAACACAYGTTTTAACTGCTTGAGGTACGCACTGATAGTGATTTTGGGTTTTTTCGCATCCTGGACAAATGTTTCAAATTTGGTGCAAAAATGGCCTCTTTTTTTTTTTTTTGTCTACCATGGTAAAGAATCAGTTGATCAGCCATACTCTTAAGGAAGTTTTAGGTTAAAGAGCTCAAACGGATCTGGTTTTCTCTGGTATTGTTCATATTCTGCATTGCTGACAGAACTGACTATTGTGATAAAGGAAATTAGAAGCTATTGATTTGGGTTAGTCACTTAAAAGAGTAACTCCCAGCATCACATCTCCAGTTCCTATATTATTATAATAGACAATAGAGTATGTTATCTAGTATAGCAGTTGTCTAATAATTGCAGTAAAATATTGTCCTGAAAAATGCATTTTGGGCAGAGGAATTGATATGTTCTTTCTCACTGATAAACAGAATGTATCCTTTAGAAACGTAAGGTGTTGGTRTACCTAAAGGCACAAAGCGAAGGAAAACATCCTGTCTTAAAAAACATATTTAAAAACATTCTCATACAATCGGAAAAGCATGTTATTTGCTTCAGAAATACTGGCAGCATGCTCCAGTTGAGGCCAAAAGATAATGAGACCCCTGGAGCTATTATTGAGAAACTTTCACATGTTAAATGGAAGCTAATGCTGGTGTACCACAAGAAAAAGGTATGCCACAAGAAAATAGAAAAATGCCTTTCCTGAATACTCTTAATGTTTATTTATTATCTTAAAATGTCATACAAAATAAGGTGAAAATGAAATGAATTGCTATGGTTTTGAGCTAATGATAATTTTCATTCTGTTGTGCTGGGATTTTGCCGATAATTTTCATTTTGTTGTGTTGRGATTTTGCCTGTGTACAAAAAAAAGTTGTTCCAACAGCAAGAATTTACAAGTTTCATAGAGTTCCTATGGAAGCAAGGAGTAAAAAACTAGAGAAAAAGAAGGGGRGGAAGGGAGGGAAGGAGCAAGAGTTTTCTACCTACACAGGGCAGTGCAAACCTGGATACCTCTGGCTTAAATTGCTGTTTATCCTGTATTGCTATAATACATTATATGCATTTCTACACTGTTTGTTCCGGTATTTTTATTTTCTGTCTGTCTCTAAGGATCCACTTATCCTCTTCTTGTGTTACAGGCATATATTTTTAGTTTTAAAATTATTTGCTTTTTCACGTATCCACTTTAAGACATTAATTTTAATTTCTACCTAATTCTATGATGTTTAAAGTCTATCCCTCAAAATATATGGCCAAGCTAAGTATAGTCACTTTTTTTTTTTTTTTTTTTTTTTTTTTTGTTTTTTTTTTTTTTATGTGGATGTCAGTTATTCATCTGTAGGCTCTAGGATTGAAATTAGTAAATGATCAAATCTTTGGAAGTAGGATACAAATTTGATTCATGTGTATGTCTTGTTTTGTAAATGTTTTTGCCCTTTGGCACATTTTTTAGCAGATTCTGATCTATGTGGTTTGCAGTCAGGCAGCTGTATAGCCACTATGCAGCTCATCATTCTTCTTTTCCTAATTGTATAAATGTTCTTTCTAGGCTAAATATTTTCCTGGTTTGTAGGACCTCCTAATTTCATGATCCTTACATATTGTTTTCAAATCTGTATTTTGTTTTTAAGCTGTTTTGTACTTGTTTAGTGAGTAATGCTAGTGGAGTGTCTCTTCATTAAAGGTGGTTAGAAAATTACGTATCATCTTACTTCCTCCTGCCACCACCCTCCCATCCTTTTCTGAAGCTCTCTTTTCATTATGCTGTTTGTGGGGAAGGTAGAAACGATGGCTGGATAATGCTATTATCTTTGTTTTAATTTTGCATTAGGTTCTAAAAATTGGGTAATTTTAGGGATAATATTTTAACTCAAAATAACACAGTAAAAATATCTCCCAGCTGAAAAGAACAGCAAAAGTGGTTTGTTTGCACATTGTAAATGCTAAACAGGCTATTTTTAATGTTTAAAAGTATGGGAGAACAATCTCACTTTTAAATTACCTCATTTAAAATAGAAAAAACTTTTTTGGTTTAAAACCACTTTATTTCCTGCTAGAAAGATTTTTGTAAAAAAAATTCCCAACAACTTCATTCATAACATTTGCAGAATGAGGACACCATTCCATGAATATTAGTAGGACAAAAGTAACATAAACCAGATTTTCCGGTTTTAGAAACTGTAAGGAAGGAGCTTGGTCTTTAATAAGCCACTASTTGTTTATTTTTAATGTCTCTTACCAATGCAAATTAAGAGGAAGGAGAAGCTGTTTGTTTATGTCTTGTGAGCCTCCTGCTTATAGCAGCAACACCATAAGTCAGTTAGTCTCGAGTTATTTTTTGCTTAATAAGCTTTGCCATTTCTCTCCCTTCTAAAAAACTCACTTTTACAACCTAGATGGATTCAATAAGAATTTTTGCTAGAATATTTAGCAAAGAATATTTGGCTACTGGTAATCAATTAAAGTAATTTGCCATTSGATCCATTTATTCCTTTACATTTTAAATGTGATGGGCTGGCCCTGCCTAACAGCCAAAAACTTACACAGCTGTTTGCTCACTTCCTTCCCCTGGGATATAGGGGAAAATTAGTAGGAAAGGGAGTGAGAAAACTGGTGGTGAAATAATGACAGRAAAATCACTGTCAGAGGCAAAACCACATAGGGAATACAACCTAATTTATTGCTAGGTAGCATAAATATTTAGTTGGTTAGAGTATTGGGAGACAAAACCAAAAAAAAGGACAAATATTTAATCTTGCAGGAAAAGCAGGTTTTCTCCCACTTTCCCAGGTTCAGCTTCATACTCCTCTCTCACTTTCCTAGTCTCCACACCTTCACTCCAGACATCTCCTGCCGTGTTACTGCTGCAGGTTGTGCACGGTCCCTTCAGGGAGRCACTGGGTGGCCCACAAGGCTGAACTCAGTGCTTGGCTGCTTCCCTCTGCCTCTCCTTGTCGCTCCACAGACCACAGTGCCTTTGGGCATGCTCCAGTGTGGAACACTTGCTAGTGCTCTGGCCTTTTTGTTCTTTCCTCATCTTCCTCTTTGCCCTCTGCTGCTCACAGCCCCCTCTGTGTTCCTCCCCCTCAATATTTTTGCCATTTCTTAAATACGTTTTCCCTAAGGTGCCAGTAGCTTGGCTGATGGGCTCAGATATGACTCACAGTGGGTCCATTGCAGAGCTGTCTGGAACTCAGTCTGGAACTCTGTTCAGCACAGAGCAGCCCCTGGTTTGTCCTCACAGAGGCATCCCCTGGAGTCCCYATCTGCTGCCAAAACAACCTACCTCTTCTCCTTCCTCTTAGGTGATAGGACATGCATGTGCATCACTGTTCCATGGTTAGAATGGATGAATTTCCCATGGTGTAATGGGGGTCAGGAGAACATGGAGAATACTTGTACATGTCAGCAGTGATATAATCAAAATGAYGACTATCCATGTGAATTGCTGAACAGTGCCCGTGGACAGTAACAGACTTTTTCTTATCCTCTGTCAGGAACTGAAATGTTTTTTCTTCTGTGACAAGGACTGTCTCTAGATCCTGTTACTTTCCAGCAGTAACTGGCCAGTCACAGRCTGTCTTGGTTGCCGTGTGTGTGCAGCTCACAGAAAAGTAGTCAGGGAGTAGGCAGGCTGAGCTCACAGCCTGTTGACTGGTCACCTCTGACAAGAGCATCCTTGATATATGATCCACCTTGAATAAATTCTGTTCTTTCAGAACTACATCAAAATAAAGTTTATTTTTCCAATCGGGCTTGAGACTGTAGCCTAAATGCATTTTGTCTATAGCTGATTTCACTTGGAGAATTACCAATATTCCTGTAAAATAATCACTGCTGTTGGATGGATCATTCTTATCTCTTGTTTTAGAGTAATGAAAGAATAAAAYATTTAAGATGGAATATTCATCGGGTTGCTATACAGTCTGGAAAGGAAAAATAATTAAATGCATCCCTTGGAGAAAAATTCTTAGAATTTTTGGAGAAATAGATTTCAGTGGAAGTACTACTCACAAAGTTAGTTCCTGTTAAACCAGTAAGGTTGATGAGCACATCATATTAATTGAAAAACWTAATGTTTGTTTATTACACAAAGGGGTTTTTTTCACATTTTATGCTTAGCACATATAGGCAGCCCATGGTCAGGGTGGGATTTATTTCATGTAACTATTCATTTTGTATAAATCTAGTATCATCTARGTGTTTAGGCTTTCTAGTCTGTGGAGAAGGTAATGAACATCACTTCCAACATTTCATTATACAGGTCTTAAGAAGAAACTYTTAAGGTGTCTATATCATCTTATTAATTAGAAAGAAAGCTTAGATAATTAGTTCAGACTACATGCCTAACTTAAAATGAATAAATTCACATGCATTGGTTTGCACCATGAGTACCTATTTGCTGTGGGCTGTATAGGTACCCATTTTCTACCTGGGTAAAATCAGTAATGTTTGAATTCAGCCTTTCCTTAATTTTTCTCTCTGGTACAATCAGCATTATTGAGAGTCCTTAAGTGTTATCATAATGAAAATATAAATAACAATAGAACTGGTATAAAAATAATAACACTTTGAGAACAAACTAATTCAAATGTATTTTCTTTTTTCGTTAAATGAAGTATCATTTTGGAAATAGCATAACATACATTATTTCATTGATGTGGTACTTGCTAGCTTTATGTAGCAAAAAAACATTAACTGGC